GAGTTTGCGTGGTGTGGGCTGTGGCAGTGGTTTGGCCTGGGTGGGTTTGCGAGCTTCGGAGGCGGTCTTTCTTGATCTATGGTTCGTTTGGGCTGTGGTTGCTGGAGCTTCTTCTGATTGTTTCGCTTTTCGGTGTTGGCTTGGTCGTGCGGGTGATGGGGTTGAAGTTCGGTGGGGAGGGTTTTTCTATATCTAGTATTTGTTGCTTTTTGGTTTTATGTATTGTGTGGTGTTGGTTAGTGTTTTTGTTTCGTGTTATTTTTTGTCCTCCCGGTTGGGAGCTTCTCTCCTTGTGGGAGTTTTTCCTTCTCTCCTTGTGGGAGGTTTGTTAGTGTGTGGTGTTTGTCTGTGGTTGGTAGGTAGGATTTAGACTACACTATGTTTAGCTCTCCCACCTAGATTGAGCTAGTTAGCTGGTTTCTCAGCAAATTTGCTGTTTCTAGTTTGTATTTGTATGTTGCTATCTATATATCCTATTGATTAAAAAAAAAAAAAAGATATGTACTAGTCTCCATGTTTTAACATTGTTCCAATTATTCCTAATGTGTAATTTCTAATAAATTCAATCCTTGTTTTTTTAAAAGACACTAGTGGAATTCCGAGTTCCAACGCCGAAAAAACAAACAATTGTTTCATTCTATGTAATTTTCTTAACTTGTAATGAGTTGAGTTTTGCTCAAGCTTATCAAAATCGATGTTTACCAAATTATTATGGACTGCGTATTGTTTCTTTTGATGGATGCTTGAGTAGTTGAGCCTCAAAGTCTACTCCAAGTTACCTGCTTCAACCCCCTCTGTATTTTCTTAACTTGTAATACATACAATATTCAACAATCACTTGCAATAACAAGCCACATTGTTTGAACAGATGTGCCATTTTTCTTAAAATAACATACTAATATAAACAACCTACATATTCATGCACTAATACTACAATCACAAATACAAGAACAAAAATTCAACAGAGAAAGGTGCAAAGCATCAGTTTTTCTGCAAACAATAAAATGATTCGAATGGATTGGATAATGATGCCTCCCATACCAAGATGATAAACTTCTTATTTTGCATTACAAGGTACAAGCAGAGCCTAGCTACAAGCAATTGTACACACACACACACTATACATGGTGCCAAAAGTGCCATCTGATATCACAATCAGCTCTACCATCTATCTTCTCAACCAAAACATATCATCATATTATATAACAGTTGCTAACGCAAATTGTTTTCAGAAAAATTCCCAGTATCATGTCATTCTACCTACATCCACCATTAACGTGCACCAAACTTCATATCCAGAGATTCCACTTGATGCCAACAATTCATTCTCTTTCTCTACTTATTATTTCCTCTCATCTTACCTATCTGTTCAGATATCATCCTTAAGCAAACACGAATTATGTTGGAACTATTTAAACTAAATTAGCCAGAGAAGTGTAGTCATATAACATTCTTCTTAATACACTTTTGCCTCATATATAAACTCCGGACATAAATTCATGTCTTACTACTATATGGTTGATAAGTAACATAATGTTATCCTCCCCCAGAACCGTCTGATCATTCATGGTCATACAAAAAAACAAAGAGTTAGGAAGCAATCAGAGTGAGAGAGAGAGAGAGAGTGAATATTTATGCTATTCAGTATTTGAAATGGAACCAGCAAAATATAGAAACAGAAAGAAGCAGCAAAACAGAAGGTTAATAAATGATTGGCATTTGGCACAAGGGAACAATGTATCAAATATATAAAAACTATCCAAAGGGTAAAGAAGCATGAAAAACCAAGTCTTCACATTTCTATGTTTCTCCAAAAAGAGATCCTAAACAATCATCAGCCAATAAAAACACATTTCTGAAACCAGGCAATAGTAGTACGTACACTAAACAATCACAATCCTACTAACATTGATATATTCTCTGTTTGCAATAACTAAACTATAATTGGGAATTCCAATAATCACAACATCCATCTGCGTCTAACTTACAAGGTTCACGGTGTCAGATCAGATCTTTGGGGACGGACACAACAAACAATAATAAGCTTTATCAAATAAGAAAAAAAAAAAAGGGGGGGTAATTCGCATATGACTGTACAATAAAGATTGCTTTTCTTCTTTTTCTTCTTTTTTTTTTTT